AAAAAGGGAGAATTCCCTAAAAGTGGAAGCACTGCTTCAAAGTACGCTACATTTTTTATTGAGTCAGAACTCATATCTGCCATCTAGTGAGTTTATTAGATCATTAATGCCTAAAAGTTACAAAAATGACGTCGCCACAGGAGTAAGATGACGCTAGTTGTATGTTATTTTCCTTTGTATGGGAGTTGCACCCCCCTGTCAAATACTATCGAATAGTCTTAAAGTATGTTTTTTTTTAAATTATAATATTTCGTTCGTTCTAAATCTCAACATACTACCGCCGAACGTCCGAAGCCGGCGACGATCGGCCGCCGACTGAAGCAATTCACTCCAATAAGCCCCCATGTTAGCTATTCCGGTTGCAAACAACCAAAAAATCTATAACCTTCTTCTTGTTTGACTGTTCAGGCACCAGACGTTCTTGTTATAATGGTCATTGATAGCTGATAAGTGACTTACGCAAATGCCAGCCGGTACAACGGAGTTGAGCTGATAACAAGTCTGCTTGGGCCGGGGTCAGCTACGGGCTGTTTGTATTATTACGTTTTTGATAAAACATTAAAATATCTAAGTTGCCGAAAAGTGCCAAATCTTTACTTAAAACAAACAAATCTGGAAATTAGGTCTTTTGTTAATAAACTTTTATGAACGTAGATGAACTGTGGTTAGAGATGTTTTTTTTTATAGGTGAACTAGATTACGTTTCACCAGGTGGTAAGTTAGCTAATAGATATCACTGCTTAAATGACGTCATAGGTGTCACACACGTGTAGACCCAAATGTTCTTTTATTACTTTAGGGTTTCTCATGTCATTTAGAATACTACCTATGACCCGCGGGCATGCTCGAATAAAATTATCTATTCTAAAAAAAAAAATAACATTTTTCAGGTTTTTTTATTGCTTAGATGGGTGGACGAGCTCACGGCCCACCTGGTGTTAAGTGATTACCGGAGCCCGTAGGCATCTACAACGTAAATGTCACCACGTACCTTGAGACATTAGTTCTAAGGTCTCAGTTTTTACAGTACAACGGCTGCCCCACCCTTCAAACCGAAACGCATTATTGCTTCACGGCAGAAATAGGCAAGGCGGTGGTACCTACCCAATCTTTTTTATTGCCTTTGTAATTAGACGAGAATACGTCCCAACCTGTGGTGAGTGGTTACTGTTGCTCATGGGCCTCAGCAACGTAAGGCGCACAACCAAGTCACCGCCTCCCGCCTGTATTCGTAATAATCTTATTCAATTCGTATTGTTCATTAGTTAAATATTATCGAGACCACCAATGATTTTCACAGATCAGTGTTGACACAAAAACAGCTATAGTAATAATAATTCTGCGTGAATTTATCTCTTGATACGGCATCGTGACCTTTCATATCTCAAGTATTTGTGTTAAAAATAAGAAAAAAAACATAATAATATTTCTTTTTTTTTTAACGAATAAAAAGTGTTTCCTGTAATTGATTATATTTGTATATGGATAAAGGCCATTTGGTTTAAGCGACATTTCGCTTATTATACCACATTTATCTTTGCAATTAAAGGTCAGTTTTATTTGGTATTAGTATTAACAATTCAATGTTTTTAATTGAACCAAAATTAAGTTAACTCCATTGAAATAGCTAAAGAAGTTTTTTCGTTACGATATATTTTGTTCCAAGTTTTAAACTTTAAATGGCTGTCGGTAAAGTTGCAAAAATGTCGCTTAGACATAGCTTTTCGCCCCTCGATATGATAAGATCGGAGGTTGTACTATGTGGTGGTATATTTGATGAACCTTGCTCTTGAGTTGTTAGGTCTCCTTCGGAGGCGCTCGGGCAGTTGTTAGCAAATCCCACCCCTCCTGGCTGAGCCTTTGCTCGCCCATTTGTCCTGGGGAAAATGAAAAGGCTTCCGGGCCACCAGTAATCTTTCAATCATAAAAAAAAACCCGCCCTGCTCACGCGGTCTTTATCCACATCCACAACGTAAATGCACCACCCACCTTGAGATATAAGTTCTAAGGTCTCAAGTATAGTTACAACGACTGCCCCACCCTTCGAACCAAAACGCATTACTGCTTCACGGCAGAAATAGGCAGAGTGGTGGTACCTACCCGCGCGGACTCACAAGAGGTCCTACCACCAGTAATATAGCCTTTATTTGGCAGACTGGTGAGCGTCTTTACTAGTTCAGACTTCAGCTTCCCTAAGTTGTCGGGGCCTGAAGTAATTATTAAATGGTCATTGTATAAATGAAATTTAATTCAGACTCCAGAGTCATGTTTGTGAACCTTCATGCTTTATTTCATCTGGCCCGTCAGCTTGACAAGCCGATGACGCAAAATGCTTTCTCCTGTATTTCCAATTGGTAAAATATTATTACGCATTGCGAAAATGAAGAGCTTTTTTTTGACGTGATATAGTCTTATAAATCGATGATGACCGGCCGCACGCGTAAAAAAGTGTCACGTTCCGTCTGAGCTTGAGGGTGCAAGAGCGAGAGCGCGGAACAAGTGATAGAGAAGCAAGATAGGCCCAAGCTACTGACGTTATCACGTAAAACTTTTTTTTCCTACCTATTCTAGTAACCTCGAGGGGCTCTTCTAGATTCACCAAACTAGTAGGTGAGCTCACGGGGCTCAAACCTGACGACGTTGCTAGCACGAATCCTAGCAAGAGCCGTGCTTCGCAGAATCTACCACCGGATCAGAAACGCGACCCACGAGAAGATCCGGCGAGAAACTCAGTGGGCTGTGTCTGTGGGTTAATTTACTCGTCGAGCCCTTCGTCGCAAGCGACGGGTTCGACGAGAACGATGACCGGTGCTTGGGGTACCTAAAAGCACCGTTAGTGGATCGGGAGGATCCGAGATGACGTGTTTTGGGTGACGTCGACTGTTTACCATTTGCTCCGCAGGATCGGCTATATTACACGTAAAACTATCGTACGTGAACCGACATTAAAAAATATTTTTTTTTGTCTATTCCGCTCCCGCTTTCCTTTGACTAATTATCCTAATATTACGTTCGCGACATCTGTGACACGTTGACGTAACAATGAAATAAATTAGTTGTTAAATAGATAAAATTGTAACAGACTTGAGTATCAACCCTAAATACAATAGAAGCCAATTGCGGATATAAGATTGTATATTAAACAATGCCAATATTTAAGTAAGCAACATTATTAATCAGATAACCTCTTTACATGTGTAGTGTAACTATGTATTATTATTATTACTATATTATAAGTTTGACTTTGTTTATAATAATATTAGATGTAGAATTATTATATTTAAAAATTATGTTGATTTTTAATATTGTCTGTTTTTTGGGACAAACATTCTTTGTATATAGTCAGCAATGACGCACCGTGCGCAAGCGCTACGGGTGGCCCCCGCGCGCGCACTTCACCAGCAGTCCGTAAACTGCCTTGCCGTCGGATACTCGTATGATTTTACCTGCTAACCCGCTTCGCAGTGCTTGCACATAGTCTTGCTTAACTTTAGCTTATAGTTGAAGTCTGTTTATTGTTATTATTGTTGTTTCCNAGGCGGTTGATGGTAATTTGTTTTCATTGTCATTGGCATACATTCTAGTGGCTTGGTTAGTGGTTCTGCTGTGCGTTGTTTGTGATTCTGAATCAGAATCCTCGGTTTCACTGTCATAATGTGATGTAGTGACAGAGGCGGTTGATGGTAATTTATTTTCATTGTCATTAGCATAAGTGCTAGTGGCTTGGTTAGTGATTGTACTTTGAGTACTTATTGATTCTGAAATAGAATCCTCAGTTTCACTGTTATAATGTGACGTAGTACCAGAAGCGGTTGATGGTAATTTGTTTACATTATCATTAGTTTGTATGCTAGTGGCTTGGTTAGTGATTGTACTCTGCGTAGTTTGTGATTTCGAATTATAATCCTGCGTTTCAGTGTCATAATGTACCGTAGTGACAGAGGCGGTTGATGGTAATTTATTTTCATTGTCATTAGCATAAGTGCTAGTGGCTTGGTTAGTGATTGTACTTTGAGTACTTATTGATTCTGAAATAGAATCCTCAGTTTCACTGTTATAATGTGACGTAGTACCAGAAGCGGTTGATGGTAATTTGTTTACATTATCATTAGTTTGTATACTAGTGGCTTGGTTAGTGATTGTACTCTGCGTAGTTTGTGATTTCGAATTATAATCCTGCGTTTCAGTGTCATAATGTACCGTAGTGACAGAGGCGGTTGATGGTAATTTGTTTTCATTGTCATTAGTTTGTATGCTAGTGGCTTGGTTAGTGATTGAACTCTGCGTAGTTTGTGATTCTGAATTATAGTCTTGCGTTTCAGTGTCATAATGTACCGTAGTGACAGAGGCGGTTGATGGTAATTTGTTTTCATTGTCATTGGCATATATACTAGTCACTTGATTAGTGATTATACGTTGCGTACTTTTTGATTCTGAATTGGAATCGTCAGTTTCACTGTCATAATGTGACGTATTGACAGAGGCGGTTGATGTTAAATTATTTTCATTGTCATTAGCATATGTGTTAGTGGCTTGGTTAGTGATTGTACTTTGCGGAGTTTGTGATTCTAAATTGGAATCCTCAGTTTCACTTTCATAATGTGACGTAGCGATAGAGGCAGTTGATGGTAATTTGTTTTCGTTTTCATTAGCATATATGCTAGTGGCTTGATCAGTGGTTACGCTGTGTGTACTTTGTGATTCCGAATTATAATCCTGCGTTTCAGTGTCATAATGTGACGTAGTAGGAGAGGCGGTTGATGGTAATTTGTTTTCATTGTCATTGGCATACATGCTAGTGGCTTGGTTAGTGGTTCTGCTGTGCGTTGTTTGTGATACTGAATCAGAATCCTCGGTTTCACTGTCATAATGTGATGTAGTGACAGAGGCGGTTGATGGTAATTTATTTTCATTGTCATTAGCATATGTGTTAGTGGCTTGTTTAGTGATTGTACTTTGCGGAGTTTGTGATTCTAAATTGAAATCCTCAGTTTCACTGTCATAGTGTGACGTAGCGATAGAGGCAATTGATGGTAATTTGTTTTCGTTTTCATTAGCATATATGCTAGTGGCTTGATCAGTGGTTACGCTGTGTGTACTTTGTGATTCCGAATTATAATCCTGCGTTTCAGTGTCATAATGTGACGTAGTAGGAGAGGCGGTTGATGGTAATTTGTTTTCATTGTCATTGGCATACATTCTAGTGGCTTGGTTAGTGATTGTACTTTGAGTACTTTGTGATTCTGAAATAAAATCCTCAGTTTCACTGTCATAATGTGACGTAGTGACAGAGGCGGTTGATGGTAACTTGTTTTCATTGTCATTGGCATACATGCTAGTGGCTTGGTTAGTGGTTCTGCTGTGTGTTGTTTGTGATTCTGAATCAGAATCCTCAGTTTCACTGTCATCATGTGATGTAGTGATAAAAGTGGTTGATGGTAATTTATTTTCATTGTCATTAGGTTGTATGCTAGTGGCTTGGGTAGTAGTTGTACTTTGTGTTATTTGTGACTCTGAGTTGGAATCCTCAGTTTCGCTGTCATAATGTGACCCAGTGATAGAGGTGGTTGATGGTAAATTATTTTCATTGTCATTGGCATACATGCTGGTGGCTCGGTTAACGTTTGTACTTTGCCCACTTTGTGACTCTGAAACGGAATTCTCAGTTTCGCCGTCATAACGTGACGTAGTGACAGAGACGGTTGATGGTAATTTATTGTCGTTGTCATTCATTTGTACGCTAGTGAGTTGGTCAGTGGTTGCACTCTGCGTACTTTGTGATTTTGAATTGGAATCCTCAGTTTCACTGTCATAATGTGACGTAGTGATAGATGTGGTTGATGGTAATTTATTTTCATTTTCATTTGTTTGTATGTTAATGGGTTGGTCAGTGGTTGCACTCTGCATACTTTGTGACTCTGAATTGGAATCCTCAGTTTCGCTGTCATACTGTGACGTAGTGACACCTCTATAGGTGGTTGAAAGTAAATTATTTTCATTGCCATTCGTGACTTTATTAATATCCGAACTGTGCATATGTTGTGATTCTGCCGGTTCTGATTTTCCAGTATTGTCATATGTAACCGTAGAGGTTAGAGGAAATTCGTTTTCGTTGTCATTGTATTGTGAGGTCGTCTCTTGATTATCATTTTTATCAGTCGCCTTATAGTTGATTGTGGCTATAGAGTTCGTTGTCGAGAAAACTTGTGGTATTGATGAAGTGAATTCATAGCTTCCAGATTGTGTAGATAGACCTAAATTGGGTATTGTTTCATGTATATCAAGAGTTGATATTGTTGATTTCGACATTGTCGTTAGTGAAGAAGTAATCTCAACACCTTCGGCGTCTGTTTGAGAAGCCAGTGAACTACCAGTAGTTATTCTTTCATTTAAAATATTAAACTGTTCTTTAGGATATTCAGAAAGCTGTTTGATATCATCATTTGATGATTGCGTAAATTCAGTAGTCGTCTCATATTTTATAAATTGAGTGGGTTTCTGTTTGTTTAGTGGTTGAACAGGTTTATGTGTTGTTTCTTCATTAGAATTGAATATTGTATAGGGTTCAGTTGAAATAGTAACAATAGTATCATCTGATTTTGTTGCTTTATGTGTTAAAAATTCTACTATACCTCCGGTAGGTATTGTTGTAGTATCGTTTTGTTTGTTTAAGTCATTTGTGTCTGTTAATTTAAATTCATAATTTGTTTGTTTAAGCTGAGCTTCTGTAGTAGTTTCAATTAAATCATTTTCCGAACTATCCCATTTTTCTTCCATTGTGATGACAGTATGATAATAGTTTGTTGTAGTTGGGTTTAAGCTAGGTGCGTTTTTTGTTGTCTGATAGGCATTTTTTTCTGAATAATTGATCTGATCTGATTGATTGTCAATGATGTGAACTGTAGGTGATGTTGTGGTAGCAACTTTAAAGTCAGTTGAAACAGTTTCATGGCTATCAGACATGTCATTTTGAGTACTATATTGTATTGTGCTAGTATAAAAATTAGTACTTTTATTATTCTCTTCCGCATTGACACCTGTATCCGTTTCTATACCTGAAGTTAATGTTTTCATACTTGTAGCTGCAGTGTCTTGATTTGTCAACGTAATTTCTTCACTAAGAGTACTCTCAACGCTGCTACCTTCTGTTGTATAATAATTGATCGTAATTTCAGAAGCCGTTAATGGTATTTCCGATGGATTTGTTGGCTTAGTTTTTGGTAGTGGAGTTGTCATTTTCGTTGCTGATTTCTCATTAACCGAGTGTGATACAGGACCGTATCCATCGGCAATGTTTGTGTAATTACCATTCAGTTTTCTTTGATTTTCAGGAGTTTTAGTGTTCTTATTTTCAATTGATATTGGTTTTTCAGCAACTTGTGTTGTCTGTTTAACGTTGGGTTTAAGGGTACTTTCTTCATGAATTGTACTGCTACTCTGTACAGGTTCATCACTTTTATCTAAATAAAGTGGTTTACTAATTGGCTCTTTAACTAAAGAGGAGAATATTGTTGTTTTCTCATTAATTGTAGTGTCTATATATTTTTGTGTAGTAAACGCAGGTTTTTCACTGTCGTATATTTTTTCGGTATTTATTGGTATTGTTGCGTAGCTCTTTTGATCAGCTTCGGTAACATTTTGAAAATCGTAGATGTCAGTTAACAAACTATCAGTAGTATGGAACTTTGTGGATGTGTAATTGAATAAGGAAATGTTAGTATCAGCCGTAGCGTTTAATCCTGACCGTGTTATACTTTTTGTGAGATAAGTTTCATCAAACGAAGCCGTTGTAGATAAATCATCGGCGAGTGTACTTTTGGTTGCTATATCGTCAATATGTAATGTAGATGGTTTTTCAGTAATAATATTGTGATAGTCCGTAGACAGTTTTAAGTCGGATGATGTCGTATCAATTTGTTCGTCGTCAATATTAGTCGAGTACGTAAGATAATTTAAAGAATCATCTTTTGTAGAGGTTTCCGTGTCTTCGCTCGTTGTAGTACTTGTGACATCAGTTAGTGGGACATTTTTAGGTTGATCATCTGTTAATTGGAATGGAATAATAACATGGTTAATAATTCAACGTTTCTATATTCTTCCTAATAATTTAAATAGTTAAACATTACGCTTTTTCATCAAAATTAAATTAAATTCCAATTTGAAGTTGAACTATTACTAATAATCTGAAGCATTCTTCAGCTCATAACAATATGATATTATAATAAATAAATAAATTAAATTATATAAACATTTGAGTAGGACATCAATCTACTTCAAGTATGTCAGAATAGAATATAAAAGCCGACACCAGAGTATAAAACTAAAAGATAGATAAACTAAATGCTATGTACAAATAATAGGATAGTCCAGCTGAAGTCTATAGAATTTTTTTTTATAATTTTATTTTATTTGGGTAATAAATAAGCCATTTTAACTAAATATGTTTTGCATACCGTAAAAGAAATAGTAACTTACACTGTCTCAAAGTGTTTCAATGTAGAAAGGTACCATGAAATGTTTTTCATGTAATGTAAAACAAGTGTGTACGTAGTTCGGGTCTGCCAGAAATTCAGAGCCAGTATTTTGTGGCGTTTTATCGGACAAATGGTATATACACTAAGTAATAGCAACGCCCAGTTCATCTGGAGTTAGTTTTGCTAGTTCCACAATACATTTAATATGTATGATATATAAAACACCGATTTGTAGGTGTATTAAACAAGGCTGCAACTTTATAAAAGTATACAATTTACATATTCTTTACAAATTATACTTATTACATTTACCGACGATTGTTATGTTTGTTTAGTTTTCATTATATAAAAACAAATTTAATTAATAGTGAATGAATTATTAATTAGAACTGTATTAATTGTGGTTACTCACTTTCCATACAAGCTCCAGAGAAGGGATCGCAAGGAACACCTGGTCTGCAATGAGCGCAGTTCGTCTTTGGTTTATCGCCTGTTAAAAATGTAGCGGTCAGATGTTGTGCTCTCGTGTGGTAACGGCAGTTATTCAATGCCTATATATTAAGTTACTCCAGAATGAATACGGAGTTAGCTCCGTATGTCCAGGAATGTAACAGAGTTCGAATTTTGATCAAGTCAATTATTTTGCTAAAATATTGCATATTATGCATTAAATTTATCGATAATTCAAAAACTTCATCAAAAGACTTAACACGTCGCTTTGTAGTAAAAGATTAACTTCATGAAAAAAATAGTGTACACATAAGATGACATATTTAAGAAAAACACGAGATTAAACTGTAATATTTTTATTAACTCCGCTTTTTTACTCTAAAAAATTTGATTGATTCGCTGGTATTGTAATTAGCGATTTTGATTACTGAGTCTAGATCGTGAATTCGATTCCCACATCAGAGTTTAACTATATTATATTATTATATGAAAATGGATATTGTATTGGAACGAATAAGTTTATTGGAAGTAAAAATCCGTTGAGGCAGAGACTGATTTTGACTATCGAGTGGGAGTAGGAGGTATACTAGTTTTCGGCCAGTTGCCCATGTGTCCTACATAATTTTGTGTGATTATTTATTTACTGTAATTATTTTGATTTCTGTTTAATTTATTTTATGCTTACCCAGAACACAATTACAGCCGTCGCAGACAGAATTTGAATAGCTGGCACAATCCGATGAGGTTTGACACTGACAAACTAAACAATAAAAAAATTGTTAATTAGTATGATTCCATCTGCGAAGTCAATTGCAATATCTCTAGAAATTTAACGAAACGTTTTCAGAATTATTATTTTTTATCTTCGATAAAAGCCATGACACTGAGTTTTCATTTACCTTTAGAACATACTGGCTGATGATTTAAAACAGTGCAAGACTGCCCAGGAGTGCAAGGTCCACCTTGAGAACAAGGGTCGGCGCAACGATCAGCCATGCACGCCATATTGCTGGGACACTGCTCGTGATCGCTGCATTCTACAGCTGTATTGAAAAAGAATGTCACTACAAATTTTAACAACACATAAAACTTAATCTCGTTATTAAAAACGTCGAAACTTAACTTCGGTCATCACAAAACTACATTGATTTAACATTATCAACTAAACCTTTTTAAAATTGTAATACTTTTATGACATTAATTAAATTTAATTTCTCTGCTTTTATGCACCACACGATCTACCAGACTTTTTTAATTCTAAACCAATTATTAAATTAAAGCCCTATTTCTGAAGTACAGATATAACAAATTAGCAATAAATTTATCAAGATTCAATTTTATTTTGTAATTATAATTTTTTATTGCCTTTGTAGGCAGACGAGCATACGGCCCACCTGATGGTAAATGGTCACCGTCGCTCATGGACGTCAGCAATGCCACGGGGCAGAGCCAAGCCGCTGCCTACCATTAAGTACTCTCCGCAAGCCTCGTTTGAAGAAGAACATGTCATAGCGACATTGACTCCAGAGCTCACAAACAATCTATACTCAAATAAAGAAAACAAAGAAGTCAAAAGTAATAAATACTACAACAAATATGAATTAATTAAATCTAAAACAAATCCAACAATACCATATTATTTTTAAAAGAGTAAATAATAATTTTGATAAAGGCATTAATGATAAGTTTTGCAAACTGTCTCGTGGCGGTTTTTTGCATTCAAATTAATGATAAAGCATGGAAAGCGTTAGTAGTAAGAGTAATAATTATGATTAGCACTTCCAATAGCAGTGTGAAATAAATGCATGTATTATGAATGATTAAAATATTTATGTACAAAATTACGTCTATAACTACCTGCTGCAGTAGATGTTCAAAACTGTGAAAAAGATAAATACGAACATGCCAGAACACAAAGAAAGGAAACAGAAAGAGCTGCACAAGAAATAGAATATAGACTGATATATTTTTCCTGTAATAATGAGGAACAAAAGTTTATTAAGTGTCGTACAGATACTTTCATACTAAAAAGAAATCTAAATATTGTATTTTGTTTTCACTAAATATTACCTTTGATACAGCCATGTTTTTCGTCATGTGTGAACCCATGTGGACAGAACTTGCATACAGGGTGGTGGTCTTCTACAGTGCACGGAGCACCTCCGCAAGCACCATTACATGGATCCTTGCATTGATAATCTCTGCAAGCTAAATTGTTTGGACACCCTTTGTCTGTCCGACATATCGATACGGATGGATTACAGTCTTGTACACATAAACACATGGCACGATGATCAAGTACTTCGCACTGTTTCCCTTTTGGACAAATTGGTTCTTTTGATGTCAAACAAGGATTCACACATTTGTAATCACGGCAGGCCGCATTTGATGGACATTGGTCATCTCTTGTACATTCTGCGTGCTCTGGGGCACATGTTAGCTCACCTTTTTCATTTAGGGCGAATCCATTACGACATACACATACAGGCTTATGATCTCTTACTTCACATTTTTGATTTAGCTTACAATTTTGATAACCGAGACAAGGATTTCGGCATTGATTATTGTTGAGATCACAGGCTAGTTTTGGTGGACAAGGTTTATCTTCGGAACAACTGAATGTTGAGTTGTAGTCTGTTGTTGGTTTGCAGTTGGGATCGAGTCTACAAGAGATCCTTGGCTGGCCGACATAACATTGCGGACACGAGCATTGAGCCATGTGCATCAGTGGTGCACAAAGAGCATCTTCCCCACAGGCGCCTCGCAGCGTGCACGGGTCCACACAGTGTAAGCTCAGACACACTTTATCGACAGGGCATTCCACGTCACTCGTGCATTCGATACCTAGGAAGATGTGAAAGAAGAAAGCATAGTCGAAAGAGCTGTACCTTCAGCCGCCAAGAGGAAACTTTCTCACGAGACAGTGCATGCTTTTTGATAGTTTATGATCAGAAATATGTAAATAACGAAAATAAAACAAGCAATATGTACATGAAGCCGAACAAAATGTTACTGACGATTTGAACTTCAAGCACGAACGGTGAGAATGCTTCCTACTTTACATAAAGTACAGGTTTTTTTTTTACTTTTTACATTAAAAATACAATTCTTTACAACGACTCGAACAAAATACGTTGTAAATAAAATGAGAGACGTACGGCGATTACTTCAATTTCTCAGTTTGAGAAGCCTTTTTATATTTGAATGGAAATTATGTACACAACTTTTTTTGTAAAATTAGACGTGAACGTATTCGTACCTAAAAGACGGTACTAAATACAACGGTGCATTTTTACACAGTGTCAAAACGGTTGATGTTTTCGAATTATATTAATACTCACTAGTATGACATTCGATATCGGCTTGACCTTCGGTTCCAGGTACGCAGCGACACACAAATTCCGCACCTTCCCTTAAACATTCACCATTAACTCCACAGCCCGTAGTTCGACAATCAATCACACTGCGTTCTTGGGCACCTGACAAAAGAGGAAATATTTTCAACTTAGAATTGAAAACTTTTCAGATATAAATTTGCAAAATTATGTTATATCTAAAACACTCACATTCAATATTGGGATCTCCATTTGGATAGTTACGGGGACAATAGCATTGTGCTTCGCCGATACGATTCACTCGACATTGCGCATTAGTACCGCACGGTTTGTATGCACACGGCTCCATTTTGCCACAAAAACATTGTCTCTGTGGATTTCCAGCACAATTCGGTGGACATGTACATTCATAACTACCGTCGTCCAGGTCGCGACATCTTGCATTTACGCCGCACGGATTACGTAGACAGCTGCCTGTTGTTGGTTTAGTACACTCAATTTGTGGGTTACCTTGATAATTAGGCGGACATGAACACTGCGGTGATCGGTCGACTGAGCGACATAAAGCGTTGAGCCCACAAGCCCCTGAACACACATTTTTACATTTGCCGTCGGTGTAACACTCTTCATCGGTGCCACAGTCTTCGTTATTCTGGCATTCGAATTGATTACATTCTTTTAAAGGATCACCGGAATATCCACTTGGACAGCTGCAGACAGCACGATGTCTTGTAGTAAGGCAAAGAGCATTTATACCGCAAGACTTCTCTTGGCATGCATTCACGCATAAATTTGAAGAACAAAACATATCATCGCTGCAATCTTTGTCGTTGTTACAACCAGGAGTACAAACGCCTTGCTGACAAATTTGTCTCTCTGGACATTTATTTCTAGGAGAGCATCGAGTCAGGCATCCTCCTTCGATACATTTATCACCGCAAGGGCAGTCCGAGTTCTCATCGCATAACGAAATACAATAACCACTCTGATCGCACGGACAAAAACCATCACACAAAGTCTTTTTCCTTCGGCACTCTACAAGGGGGTTGCCTGTATAGTTGCTGGCACAGCTGCACTGAGGACGATGATTCTGAACTTTACATTCCGAACAAATTCCACATGCACCTTGACTACATGGATCTGAAAAAAAAAATTCATTAATCAATATCGAAACTCGGCCTGGTTGTTACGAAATGTTTTATGAAATAGGCCCGTCAATAAAAAAACACCTGAGTTCTAGGAAATTTATACTATATAGACATACTACACAATTGAGACTTAGACCTAAAATCATTAAAGCATTCACATGGTGATGTCTACCGCTCCTAATTTCTTGAAAGAAATCTGAGGCTCTAACTAACCTAAACTGGTGGTTGGTGTTATCCCGGAGGTGCAAACAACGTCTGTTCTACTTATGCTTTTAATAGTATAAAGAGCTCGTAAACATATTAAGCCAAAACACGAACAAACATAAATAGGTACGTTTGTTTTATATATTCGACAGAAAGAGATAATACGACGTTTTAGCTAGCTAGCTCTGGTCGGGTGCAAGTAATTACCACAATTATAAAACCAAGGTTTGTAATAAATATCTTGAAACAAATAAATATATTTTTATACTTATTATTAATTAAAAATATATTCTGTGCACTTTACCTTTGCATTGTCCTTTGACACACGCATGTGTTTCTTCGCACGCATTATCATCGCGACAGCCCTGCTTACAAATCCGATTCTCGCAAATGTAACCCTCACTACAGGCAGTGTCACTATTACAAATTGTTCTGCAGATACCTCGTATACATTTTTCGTTAGACAAACAGACATTATCGCTGAAAATTATTAAACTTTATTGTATCTTCCAAAGAAAAGATCATTACTTATAGTTGCAAATAGTGTTCCTGATAATTAATTACCTTACATAGAGGCAGCCATATAGTGAAAAAAAGTGTTAAAAAATTAATGTGAAAACATAGAAATTCGCTCACCTCCTGCAGGACGGATGGCATGTATCTCCATAACAACTAAAACCATCTGGACAGTTTTGATTAGAGCCACAAGAAGTGGTGACTCGCGAGCACACTAACTTAGGGTCACCTGCTAACTTTAGTGGACATGTACAAACAGGTTGATGATCTTTCGTGGCACAGATCGCATTAATTCCGCAACTCGCTGGTTCGGTGCACGGGTCTCGACACTGTCCTGATATACAAGCTAATTTACTTGAACAATGTGAATTCGATCTGCACCCTATGGTGCATGAGCGTCCGTCACATATTTCATCATCGGAACAATGTTCATCTGAGGTACACGCGTAACGACAGACACCTTCGTCGCACCTTTCTCCTTGCAAGCATTGTGAGCCATCGGCTGTGCATGCAGGTCTGCATCGGCTGTCCTCACATGTCCATCCGTCAGTACAATCAGTGTTTTGACGACACTCTGATGACGGAGCACGGATACAACCAATATTTGGCGTTGGATTCGGTATCAAGCCCTCAATACACGAACAATGTGCTATTCTCTCCAAGACTGAACATACAGCATTTGGTCCACAAGGATTCACATCACTGTCACAAGGATTTTTGCAAACATCATTCTTGCAAAATTCTTCAGGCCCACAATCATCGTCGTATCTACAGCCATATTGACAACTTTGTTCTAGACAAATGTGTCCTGGGAAACAATCATTATCAACCCGACAAGTCACTGTAAATTAAAACGCAAATTTTAGTAAATAAGGAATTATTTTAGCCTGATTTCCAAACTCTACTTTGTATAATAATGCGTTTTAAATTATAATATATACTTACATAAACATCCACCTTTCGTGCACCTTTCGTTCAAAGCACATTCTTCATCGATATTACATCGAGGAATGCACATGGAATCTTTGCACATGTGGCCATTTTCACAATCACCAGCTGAACCGCACAATCTCGGAACTAGAAACATTCACAATTTTTTTTTTAAATTCCATACGATGAAAAAAAAACAAGCGAGTGCTCGTGAACGTCACCTTTACTAAAATCATAGCAAATCGTTTCAGTTTTTTTTTATATAATAGTAACAAAGTTGAATCAAATAATGAGGAATTCAACAAAAATGAAAATATTTCTCGGGTATTCAACAAGCGAATGAAAACGCACTTGATGTGCTGACATATGACCGTACTAATAATAACCATTTACAACATATTTAATATATAATTTTACTCCTAGTGTCAAAATTATTCTGAATCACCTACTTCGAATGCATTCCATGTCTTGATTTCCTGTAAAACTTTGAGGACAGCTGCATTGAACAATGTGGTTATCAGTCCGACATATAGCATTTAAGCCACAAGTTTTTTCTAACTGACATGGATTAAGGCACTGTCCGCCGAAGCATTTCTCGTTGGATGCACATTCTTCGTCCAGGAGGCATAAAGCTAAAAAAATAATGAATACGCTTCAAGTTGAATTTCATACGGTTATGTTTCAAATATTACTAATTTAGTTTTAGGCGCGTTAAATTTATAGCATTGTATGCGTATCATTGGTCAGTAAAAACTACAATTACACTAGCTGTAAATTAAAGAATTTTATATATAAATTTTAATATTACGTAAAAGTTTTTAACAAACAACAGTTGGGAACCGACGATCTACCTAATGGGTGGAAAGTATGCACTTGACAAAATATTGCGGCATTTGCTAAAATTTAATGGACAGTTTTAAGGGAAATGCTTAGTTTGCATTACTGTTTAGATTTTTACCTTTGCAAATTCCCCTGTGGCAATACTGATCATCGGGACAATTTGATCTAGAAGTGCACGATATTTCACGTAGGTGACATCCTTTCTCACTATTAGCGTTTCCTATGAATCCAGTTTTACATCTGCACTGAGCGCTATGTCTCGAAGCGAAACATTCTGCATTTAATCCACATTTTACATTTTCACAGGCATCTACCAAAGAAAATATCGTTTAGGAACTTGATGTCCAAATATTTTATCCTATTAATAATTTATTATTTATCTTATACAATATAAAATTACCTATACACTTCCTTGTACCATCGATAACGGTACAACGTGCAGCAGTTGGACAATCTCGGTTAAACCTACACTCTTCAGCCTTCCGACATCCTTCTTCGTACGGATTTCCCACAGTATTTGCTGGACATGTACATTCTGCCCGGTCTCGCGCACTTTTACATTCCGCTCCATTTGCACAAGGGCTTAATTTACACCAATTTATTTCTGTACAACCTTTTATTGGATCACCGGTATAGCCAGGTTGACAATAGCATACATTTTTATGCTTCTCTGATGAACAAATAGAATTTTCGCGGCATTCGTTTTTAACTAGACAGGCTATTTTACACATGTTACGATCACATACTTTATCTTCAGAGCATTCTGTATCCGTGTCGCATTCTTTACGTTGGCATCCTTCCAACGGATCACCGAAGAATCCTAAAGCGCAAGAACAAGTGGGTTGATGATTTTTTCCAACACATTCAGCCTGTCGGCCGCATGGATGTTTATCGCAAACTTTAATACATTGTGGTATTCCATTTTTCCCCGTCGAACACTTTTCGTCATCCAGACAATCATCGTTAGATATGCACTGAACTTCTTTGGTACATATACTATTTAAACAATATTGAAATTCTGGACAAGTATCGTTGAGACTGCAACTTACTCGACATGTATTTTTTATACAAACTTGGTTGTTCAAACAGTCTCTGGAGTTTTTACACAGGCCTGAAAAAAATAAATGTATAAAGTTGTTGACTTAAATAAACTTGCATTGGAAATAAGTACGCTGGTATCCTTATTCCTTATTCCTTTTTGCAATACTTTTTAGCGGACTACTCAAACTATTTTCCTGTGCCCAACCATTCACCCGAATTGCCCTTAAGAGTAATGATTAAAATTCAAAATAGCATTGTGTTGCTCCTCAGCCTTCGAAGAATACCGATCTCAAATCTCATCAATAACAATTTAGAAGTAGAGTTGTGAAAAACGAACAGTCAAACAGACTTCACTTCATATTTAAACTATTAGTATGGATAACATCAATCAATTACCAAAAATGTGACTTACTAAAAATGCGAAACTTACCAACGCATAAATTATCCACGCATTTTGTTCCTGAAGAGCATCTGTCATCAGTAGTACAGTATTGAATTGGAACACAGCCAAGAACAGGATCCCCGGTATAACCAGGCGAGCAGATACAGTTCCCAACGTGACTTTTGGAGAAACAATCCGCATTTCGACCACATGCCCTTGGCAAACTGCATGCATTTTTGCATTTGTTATTAACGCACGCCTCCTCTTGTGGGCAGTGGTTGTCTTTTGTGCATTCAAACTTAATGCATTTCTTGTAGGGATCACCTTGACTATCAGACGGACACTCACATTCAGCTTTATGTTTTGTTACAAGACAATTAGCATTTTCGCCACAAGGTGACAATTTTTCGCAAGGATTGACACAATGGTTGTTGAAGCATTTTGTTACTTGAGTACAATCGTCATCAGTAACACAATCTCCTGGAAGCTTACAGCTGCCCGTGATTGTATCTTGTACTGTTCCATTTACACATTCGCATTTGTAAGATCCGAGTGTATTAAAACACTTCGAATTTAGCGGACATGGGCTGCTAAGACATTCATTTAAGTCTACGCATTTTTTATCTTTGAACAAATATCCTGTTGGACAGGTACACAGCATTTTATGATTCTCTATTTTACAGTTGCCACCATCGCAGATTGACGGTTCGCATACGTCTGTAAAAATTAATTTAGGAATAAGTTTCACGTTTTTGTGCTTACAAGCTTGAATGTTTTTAAATATATTGTTATTCTAAAGTACCAACATCTGATCTTATAAATAATTACGACATGTAAACAATAGTTAAATATAGTAAAATTTTATTTTTAAAGTGTTATTAGTAAACTGTTTGTGATTTGACCTTAAAGATTTTTTTTTTTATAATTGAGTAACTTTGTGTAAGTTGCATTACAACTAACCTGAACATTTATTGAATTTTAAATCACAATATTTTTCAGTATTGCAGTCTGAATCATCCACGCATTCCACCTTAAAGCATCCTATGTTTTTGTCAAATGGATTTCCGAGATATCCTTTTTTGCAAGCACACATTATATTGTGATTCATAACAGAACATTCTGCATTTGTGCCGCAAGTGTTGTTTTGACAGGGATTTGAACATTTTCCTTGTATACAAGCTAATGAATTGTCACACTGTTCATCATTTCTGCATTGATTAGGCAGTAAACAACCGCTTCTGTAAGGATCACCAGCAGCTCCTACTGAGCAGACACATTTATAAGATCCTGGCGTATCAACACATTGAGCTGATGGATGACATGGATATTCCAAACATTCGTTTAAATTAGTACATTCTTCGTTCCGTAGTTCGAATCCAGCTGTACATTGACATTTCATGTTATTGCACACTAGATTGTTCAGGCAATCTAAATCTGATTTACAACCCGGTACACATACGCCCGCATTGCAGTGTTCCCCGTGTAAGCAATTAGTACTCGAATGACAAATCCTTAAACATTTATTGTCACTACATTTTTCTCCAATAGCACAACCAGTGCTGTCTTTGCATGGTACTTGACACAAAAGCCCTATGCACATATGATCCGGTGGGCAATCAGATGTTCTGTCACAGACACTTGGTTTTCGGACGCAGCCTTGTTGAGGTGTCGGTGCACCTTGAAAACCTAGAGGGCATTCACAATTTGTACTGTGGTTTATTCTGGAACAAATAGCGTTTGGACCACATGGTTTTGTTGTCAGACAGGGATTCACACACTTGTTGTTTACACACGCTTCTTCGGAAAAACAATCTTCATTATTTCTACAACCAATTAAACACTGTCCGCCAATGCATGCCTGGCCATGTCCACATTGTGTATGCTTATTACATTGAGCAACGCAAAGGTTATTTTTGCATATATCTCCAAATTCACACTGACTTGAGTTCTTACAAGCCGTAAAACATTGGTCATTGTTACAAATGTCTCCGCCGCAATCTTTTTCACTCGAGCATGCCAACAACTTCTTTTTACATGCATTGCCTTGTATTTTTTCATATCCCTCTGGACACATACAAACGGCCTTTCTATTGATAATTTGACATAATGAATTGAGCCCGCAAGCTCCATCACAAGTATTGACGCAGCGATTTTCGACACAGACAGCTTCTCTGGGACAGTCACCATCTCTGAGACAAATATCTTGTTTTCGACAGCCGTCTTTAATTGGATCACCTACATATCCATTAGGGCACTGACAACTAAAGGAAGAGAAGCTGGGCTCGCAAATCGCTGACGGGTGACAAGGATTTGAATTACAAGCATCGTCTTTTTGGCAGCTTACTTCAGGTTTCGGATCTGGACTGTAACCATTAGGACATTGGCAAATAATTTTATGATTTTCTGCTATACACACTGCATTATCACCACAAGAATTTTCAGTACAAGCATTGATGCATGTGTATGTCATACGGTTACACAATTGGTGCGACAAGCAATCATCATTATGTACACATGGTACAGATTGGCATCCTTTTTCTAAATCATCAGGACTCCCAGTAAATGGTCCAGACGGACATTGGCATCTGGCAATATGATTTTTAGTAATACAAAAAGCATTAGGACCACACACGACGTTTTGACATGCCGATACACACTTTTTATTACCACCAAAGGTCCTACACACTTCGCTTTCTCTGCACTGTGCGTCATCTGAGCACTCGTTTTTATCTATCGCTAAACAGCCATCACGATCATTAGGATTTCCGATAAATCCATTAATACATTCACATTTACTTTTATGATTTTTTGTTACACATTTAGAATTTTCAGGACAATTGAAAACAGAGCAGCTATCCTCACATTTTTTGACACCTAGAACATCTTTATTACACGATTTATTATCATCGCAATCATCATCTTCTTGACAATTTGGCGTTGAAGGTTGTTCGCAATTCGAGGTAACAGGATTCCATCGAAAACCATTATCACACTCACAACGAGCGCTTTCCGCAACTACTTTGCAAACTTCATTTGCACTACAAGCTATGGTGGTACATAAGTCTGTGCATCTTTTCGTAGATCCTTCTAGTGACATACAAACAAAAGGCTCGTTGCAATCGCTATTGTCATTACATTCGAATTCATTTGGCTCTCTTTGTTCTAAATGACAGCCAACCTTAACGTCTGTGGGTTTTCCAATGTATCCATCTGCACAAATGCAATGGGCTTGATGGTTGGCACCAATACAAAGTGAATTTGGTCCACATTGTAATTTACTACATGAGTCAACACATTTGCGAGTGTTTTTTGCTACTTGAAAACAGATTTCCGAATCTTTGCAATCTCCGTCAACTAGGCAGCTATCATCGGGTACGCAGCCTTTTCGTAGGTCATTGGGATCTCCAGTATGACTTGGTAAACAGTAACATACGCCTTCTTCGCAAACAGATTTAGGTCCGCACGCAAGTTTCTCGCAAAGATCAACACACTTAGATTTGTCACAAACAAATCCATGGGGGCATGTAGTATTATGTGAACAAGTACACACAGCGCCATCAGTGCATTTTGCAACTGAAACTTGTGAGCACAATTCATATGGGTTACCGACGTATCTGCTCCTACATATACAACTAAAACTTCCTGGCGTATTAATACAAAGTGCGTTCTCGCCACATGGATTTGTACCACATTCATCTATATCCTTACATTGAATATTAGGATTCCCTACATAACCTGGTGGACATAAACATTCTATGGAAGATTTCGTTTGTTGACACACAGCATTTCGACCGCAGGAGGCTGTGGCGCATGTTATTTGTTTACGTGATAAACACTTTTTATACGGATTTCCTGTGAAACCTTTATTGCATTTGCAAATGTTGTCTTTTCCATATACGCAATGTGCATTGGTTCCACAATTGGGTTCACAAGCTGGTGGAGAGACAGCTGTAATAAGAAATATAAAAATATTTACTAATAAATAACCTACTGCAGTAAAAATATTTACAATTTACAAATATTTTGTTCGATACAACTAAACAAGAAAGATATCACTTACGTGGCATGCACAACAAATCCGGATTTCCAATGAAGAATGGATTACAAACACATCTACCGGTTTGAGAGTCACAAGTCGCGCCAACACCACAAAGAACTCCCTCACATCGTTGTCTGCAACGTCCAGCCACACAGGTCAAAGGATCTTCACATGGAATCCCTGGTCCACACTGGTCTCTACTGCACGAACCACCAGGAAACGGATTTCCTACAAAGCCCTCAACGCAAACACATGTCGGTCCCGTTTTCGAAATAATACACTGAGCTCCTGGGGCACAATTATATGTGTCACATGCTAAAATTAATAAAACTTGATTAAATTCACGCCATCAAATTATTTGTGTACATACCTATTCTAATTATAATATTTTAAATTTAATTTAATAAATAAAATCTCTACCTTAATTAGGTTTTTAATTTATGTTTTACTCGTTTAAAACAAGCAATTACTAAAAGATATACTACTAGTTATTAATTTAATTTAATTTAAGTGATAAACAAAACAAAATTACCTGAAATACATTTTCCACCTTCAGGTTTGGTGTAACCTGGATCGCATCGACACCATGCTGCATGATTTTCAACTTCACAAAATGCATTTGGTCCACAAGAAATGGTGGCACATGGTGAGATGCATGTATGATTTAAGCATGCTAATGTATTAGGGCATTGATCATCAGAGCTACATAAATGTTTTTGTGTTGGTTCCTCTTTAAATACACCTACAAGATTATGATAATAATTATTTATTCTTTATTAAATTTACTAAGCTCAATTTAATAACCAAGCTATATTTAAAAAAATCAATTTCAATATCGTTTCCAGAAATATAATATCTTATTATTAGCAAAATAAAAGTCTTAATTTAATATTTAACTTAAATAATTTCAAGCTGATACAAAAAGTAAAACATAAATAAATACTCACATCCACTCCTGTATGGATCTCCGATCATATTCGGTGGACAATCGCATTTATAACCACCTTTTTGATCATGACAAATAGCTCCGTATGCGCAAGGAGAACTGTGACATTCGTTTCTTTTCGTGCAACCGGTGTAAGGATCGCCTTCATAACCAGCCATACACATGCAACGCGGTGGATCACTTGGAGTGCATTTAGCGTTAATACCACAAGTAAAACGTTCGCAAGGACTTTTGCACTTTTGCCCATCTGTGACATCTAAATAAAACGGCGGAGGGCACATACATTTACCTGGTTGAACGCATTTTTCGTTAGGGAAACAATCGGAATCACTAATGCATCGTTTTTGGTTTAATGAACAGTGTCCTTCGATCTTGTCTTTACTATATCCGGGAGGACATTTACATTCAAAAGAGCCCACGGTATTTATACATTCTGCCCCAAATCCACATACAGGTGTGCCTGAGGTGCATTCATTAATGTCTTCACAAGTACTGTCACTGGTCTGCGTGTAACCGGCTGGACATGCACAATAACTAACTTCATCAGAAATTACAATGCATTCTGCGCCTGTACCACATTTATTATCTTTACCGCAACCAGAAAGGACACAGCTTCCGTCTATCATTTTATATGGTGGTTGACACTGGCATGAAATGTCATCACAAAGCTCGCAAATTTTATATGGGTTACCACTATAATCCTGAGGACATTTACATTCATAGCTTCCAGGTAGATTTTTACAAATAGCATTTAAACCACATGGAGAACGTCCGTGTTGAACACATTCGTTAATATCTTCACACAATCCAGTTTCAGAATTACGTGTGAATCCTTGAGGGCAAATACAAACATTTCCACCATCATGTAAAATACATTGTTCACCTTCTGGACAAGGATTTAAGTTGCTACACTCGCTTAGTATTTTACCAGGATTACATCCTTCAACATATGGATTTCCAGTGAACGTCGCAGGACATTCACATTGAAAACGTCCTGGTAGATTTTTACAGACAGCACCTACGCCGCATGGTTTTTCATCACACTCATTCATATCTTGACACCCTAGTAGTGAAGATGGATCACCTGTGAATCCACTCTTACAAGTACATTGGGCTTCTTGATCACTTAATAAGCACTCTGAATTAGTGCCACATTGCAGAGATTCACAAGGATCTGTTAAAAAAATATAAATATTAAATTGACAAATATGTATGCATAAATGCGGAATAGCAATTAAAAAAGAATACTTACGTCGGCAATCATTTCCGATATTGGGCTCGGGGCACAAACACCTAGCATTAGAATCACATACTGCATTTCCAGGACAGTCCTTGTCTCCTTTGCAAGCAAGAATTTCAGCGCATCGTATGTGTGGGTCTGGATCTGGTATAGTGCCGTCGGGACATTCGCAACTATAAGATCCATCTCGATTCAAACAATCGGCTCCTAAGCCACATGCTCCTTCTAATTGACATTCATCAATATCTGAACACTGTTTGTATGCATCACCAGTATATCCTTCGGGACAATTACATGAAAAACTTCCAGGAGTGTTTGAGCAAATGGCATTTTTTCCACAGCGGCCTACTGGACCCAGTGATATNCCGTCGGGACATTCGCAACTATAAGATCCATCTCGATTCAAACAATCGGCTCCTAAGCCACATGCTCCTTCTAATTGACATTCATCAATATCTGAACACTGTTTGTATGCATCACCAGTATATCCTTCGGGACAATTACATGAAAAACTTCCAGGAGTGTTTGAGCAAATGGCATTTTTTCCACAGCGGCCTACTGGACCCAGTGATATGTCGCATTCGTCTAAATCAATACAACCAGCTGCTATATCATGGGGATTAAATGTCCATCCATCTTCACAAACACAATACGCCTCGATTCCATCAGGCTTACAATAAGCATGTTTTCCACATTTAACATCTTCACAAGGGGCACGACATCCAATCTTTGGCGGAGATCCAACAAATCCCGCAGCACATTGGCAATTGTAGCCCCCGGGAATATTAATACATAAAGCATTTTCGCCGCATACTGATTTATTATTTGAACACTCATCAACGTCTTCGCAGATGGAGCCCTTGGCATCGAAGCCTTCCTTGCAGAAACATTGATGATCAATACACTCGGCATTATTAGTGCAATCAAAGTTTGATTTGCACAGAATATTGACGTCAACCTAAAATAATAATTAACGTTGGAATTAACGAATCAAACTAAAACGGAAATCATTGAATTTTTAACGAAAACCGTCATTTCATTTATTTGTTCTTCAAGCTTAAAAGCTATCTAAAATTAAAACTTTGTCGGAGCCCATACATACCACAACATAAATTCTATGACTCATTTCTTTTTTAACTGTTAGGTATGCCACACTTGCATCAGGAACGCATGACAACTTTGTAATACATCCGGCTTTTTACTGACATTGTTGACAGTCGAGCTTGCGGCCCACCTGGGTGGTCACCACCATCGTTCATGGGTATGGGCCAGGGGCACAGCCAAACCAGAACTTAAAAAGAGACAGCATCACGTAATGTTCCCAGGCGGTTACCCATCCAAGTAATGACCACGCCCGATACTGCTTGACTTCGGTAACCAATCGAAAACCGGTGTATTCAACATGGTATTGAAGTTAGCCGTACATCAGTAAGTTTATATGTTCTTAAATATTTTAATCTAGTACGCAATACCTATCTCCTAATATATGAAGTATTATGAGTTTATTGTACTATGTTTAAATCAAAATTACTATTGCATCACGATTGAACTACTGGCATAATTGATAAAAAATATAGTTTTACATATTTTACCTGTTCACATGCAATTTGAGGGTCTGGTTGTGCTGCGAATCCTTGAGGACAGACGCAATTGTAGCCTGGCGCAGAGTTTTCACAAATAGCATTTGTTCCACACGGCTTCTCTAGCGTCTGACATTCGTCCAAGTCCAGGCAACCATCTTGCGCGTATGCGTCTCCGGTGTATTCAGGCGCGCAAGTGCACACATAGCTGCCTGCCGTGTTCGTGCAGACAGCATGTGCACCGCACACAGTCTCGCTACTCTTACATTCATCCACGTCTGGTGTAACAAACAACGCACGACAAGTTCAATATACCGCTGGCAAGCGGATCTATGAATATCAAATCCAATACGTACACGAACAGCCACTACGAAGAAGAAAACAAAGACACACAGACGATAGTGAGCAGGAAGAAACAGAAGAAGAAACATTTCTTTCCAAACGATTCACCGAAACGATAGTATGAAAACGAAAGTCGCCGAAGTTGTTCAAGGTCGACGATAGCGAGGTGGACTGTCGCTGAAAATGACATCTCTGTTCAAAGGTTTTAATTTCATTAGTGTTAAAGTTTGTTACATTAGTAGAAGCGTGAGGCTACCGCGCGTCTTTCAACGGTAGTTTGAGCGCGAATAGTTAGATTCAGCGCGTTTCACTCGAAAGACAATGTCAAGAAGCGTTAGTCCACACTGAATAAAATAGCGACGTCACACCAGTGCCGTGTAACGATGCTAAGCTTACCGGAACAGAGAACATCGGGGTTTCCATCAAAACCTGGCGGGCAGACGCAGCGGTATGCTCCCGGAAGATTTTCACACAAAGCGCCGCGACCGCAGGCAGCGCGAGCGCACTCGTCATGATCATGACATGCGACGCGTGGATCGCCTTCGTAGCCAGGTGGACAGCTGCACTCGTAGCCGCCGTCTATGTTGCGACAAATGGCCCCTTCGCCACACGTTGATTCATTGATGCATTCATCAACATCAACGCACTAATAAATAAGAAAAGTGGTAAGTGGACTTCAATAGGTAACACAAGAGCTACTTAGCGATCTTAATTAACATAGTGAGAGATACCATACCACAAATACCTATACTTGAAAAAATTGTCTTACTATAACTAACTGTCTATTAAGATATATCTTCTCCGCGAAACATTAATATAAAATTATTTCTTGGAACGCAACAGGAATTATTTTTTTGTGAATAAAGTTAAAGTGGTAAAGTAACAAATACATTACAATCAAAAGGAATTACGTACACCATCGAATGGATTCCCAGTGTAGCCGGCTTGACATGAGCACGTGTAGTTTCCAGGATAATTACGACAAATTGCATGCGTTCCACAAGCACCAGGTCGACGACATTCATCGATATCTAAAAACATGTAATTTGTTAGAAAAAACATAGCTTACCGCGGAGCGGATGCGGTGGGATACCCTAACCGGGAAAGAACGTCCGTAACGTAAAATTTTTATTATTTATTTATAGTCTTAGTATGATGGCTATACAGTGTCTAATGTATAGTCTACGTGATGATGGCTATTATTATTATTCATATAAATAGCTTTTTCATTGTATATTATCATTATATATTTTTTATAAATCATTGTCAATAAAATAAAGTTGATAACTTTGTAAAGTAGTTTTTTTTTTATCAATAAAAAAATCATAATAAAAAATTTATACACGAATAATTATTTTCTTTATACTTCGAAAAAAAATTAAAATTAATATTTTTATTATATAATAAGGAACTTCGTTCCTATCCGGTGTCCCAGGACACCACACATCTTTTATTTATTTATTTTTCATCCAAAATTTACCTCTGCATTCTTCTTCGCCGTCGCCTTCAAAGCCACGGTTGCATTTGCAGATAAAGTGAGCTGGCAGATTACAGCATTCCGCGTTTTCAACACAACGAGATGCTATAGCCGGGTCTTCACATTCGTTTATATCTGTAAAACCATTACATTTTATTATTCTGTTCAAAATGTTAAAACGAATATACTAATAAAGTACAAAATTGATTTTTAATAAATAAATAATATTTTTTTAATAAATAGAACTTGATAAATAACAAGACTAAAGTCTAAAACGTGTATTAAAAGAATTGATTTTCTTTATCAGTTTATGCATAATGAATGAATTTAAATTAAATGAAATGAAATGCGTTTATTTTAGGCCACTTAAGCCTATAAAATTTCACACACAATTACATAGCATCTAAATCAAATTACAATGAAATTAAAATTACAATTTATCAGAATGACAAAAAAATATAAGCAAACAAAAATGAAACCAAATCAAATGAAACCGAATCAAAATTATTAAAATTAATGATCTCGACAATGGCTGATACAATTCGTATGCAGTTCATTGGCGCTTCGAGATAAACTTTGGCTAACTTCTAGTTCTTGTTTCATTTAATTTCTTCAATAATAATAAATATATTACGACCTATATGAAATCGCAGTTGCACGCTCCTATATAAATATTTTTATTGGTAAAAATTTCGACACGAAATCTTGGGAGGTTCTTTTAAAATCGAATAAATCTAACTTACCTCTGCAAGTAAAACCGTCGCCCTCATAACCGGGAAAGCAAGAACATTGAAAACTGCCGACGGTGTTTGTACAGTGTGCAAAAACATCACAGGGCCTGTCTTTGCATTCATTTATATCTGTGAAAAAAAATTACAAAATTAACAAAAAATAAAATGTTCCCGTGAGATAGAGATAGTATCTAATAGTTTGTACCCAGTGAACGGACGAACTGTTAGATAAGGCGATAGCCAATACAACCTGAATGCTACCACACTTCTTAATTTATGATGTCAAAGTATCGATTTCATTTTTTATTTTTATTTTTTTTATTGCTTAGATGGTTGGACGAACTCACAGCCCACCTGGTGTTAAGTGGTTACTAGAGCCCATAGACATCTACAACGTAAATGCCACCACCCACCTTGAAATATGAGTTTTAAGTTCTCAGTATAGTTACAACGCCTGCCCCACCCTTCAAACTGAAAGATATTACTGCTTCACGGCAGAAATAGGCGAGGTAGTGGTACCTACCCGTGCGGACTCACAAGAGGTCCTACCACCAGTAATTACGCAAATTATAATTTTGCGGGGTTTTTTTATTTTCATTTCACGATGTTATTTCTTCACCGTGGAAGTCAATCGTGAGCATTTGTTAAGTACCTATCTCATTAGATTTTTTTTTTAAAGCGGCTATCGAAATCAGTTATTCAAATACGGTCTAATTATTTATTATTTGACATTGTTTTTTCCGGTCTATTCGTTGGTAGCCTAAGGGGCTATTCCAGGTACGCGATCTAGGTATGCTAGGTGAGATCAGGGGTTCAACCTGAGAGAATTTGCTAACACTAGCCCTAGCAAGAGCAGTCTACCATCGGATCGGAATTGCGAGCAACTGAGAAGATCCGACGAGAAACTAAGTAAAAATTACTTACCAGGGTCTTGGCAGTTGCAGCCGCCGAAACCGTCATTACAATGGCACACACCGTTTAGACAGGCACCGTTCACACACTGGGCGCCATCTTCTTTGGTACAATCGTCTTTAACAAAAACGGCATATTAAAAATTTCTTGCTGTTTATTTGAATTTAACAATGAAACTCAACAGGCAGACTGAAACTAAAAAGTCTAAAAGCCCTCACCTGAACATTTTAACTCCGACTTCAACTCATCAGAGCCTTTGTAACAATCCGTAACACCGTCGCATAGTTTCGATAGTTCATATAATTGCAAAATTTGTGTTGATTCGTTAACTTGACAACCAAAGTAGCCGTCTTCTAAATTTAAGAAAAATACTTCTCGTTTTATTCCTAAGCCTATTCCATACTGGCTTTGTGTCGCTACCTGAGAATCAAAGAAAATGCAGTGTAATACAACCCAGAAGTTTGCGTAAAACTTTGGCCATCAATATTGACACCAAGAAAACATTGCTGTTTTCCTATATATACATACAGAAAACACTAATTATTCAAGTATTTGAAATATTATTAAGCGGTAGGCAGCGGCTTGGTTCTGCCCCTGGCATTGCTGAAGTCCATGGGCAACGGTAACCACTCACCATCAGGTGGGCCGTATGCTCGTCTGCCTACAAGGGCAATAAAAAAAATAAAAAAATATTAGGTTTATTCATAAATGTCACCGTGAACTTCAAAACTATTTTGAGCAAGTATCCATCAAAGATAGGATAACGGTTACCTCGTCATTTCTTCGCCATACTTTTGAACTCTGCCATGATTCGCTCCGTAGTATTCAGTACTATGATGTGTTTCTTTTCAAACATACTTTTAGGAAGAAATATTTAAAATATATCTTCTATATTAAAGCAATATAGAAGACGAATAGTAGCGGTCTGGATGTACCCCGGCACTAGCGGCGATCATGGGCGTCGGTAACCAATTAAAATCAGTTGGGTTATCCTATTTTCTATCGCCGACAGCAAGAAAAGAAAGAAAGGTAATAAGTTCCGTAAAGTTTTTATATAAAAATTTTTTTTAAAAGATTTTATTTGTTGGAGTATGTTGATAAACAAATATTCAATAAATTATTTAATACTATAGTAGATACTTTTTAAACAAACGTACAGCAAATAGTATATTTCAATAATACTAACTAGTAGGTATTATCAAATTCTAGATTTAACTCACATGTGTCGTTGTGACTAAGAGCGTCCAAACCACGAGCGGTAGACTGTCTATATACATGGTCTCTGGAACAAAAGAGAAATTTATTAATTTTGATTAAAAACCAAAATACAAAACAAATGACAATCTGAAACTATTAAATATGTACATAATAAAAAGAGTCCTCCAAACCGGTTTATAAATGACGAAATTTCGAAGTAGCAAACATAAAAATACCTACAACCAAATCAAGTCAATTTAGTTGAAAATTAACAAAAAAGTTAACTTCACTTAAATAATATGAAGCGACCAAATTTATAGCTATGTGAAAGTAAAACTAAAAAAATCTGTGGGTTTCCTTTCAAAAGATTGATTGATTGACTCGATTTTTTTCAAGTCAAGCGCTGGATACACAACAAACTAAGTGCATTGAGTAATTAATTAATGATCATTTATTCATACATGCTCCAACGAAATGGTTTTTTATAAAACACTAGTGAAGCCCAGTCACGCTCCGCTAATCATATGAAAAACATCGATTTCTTGAAAGTACTCCCCACATCATACGTCGACAAAACTAGAACATAAACCTTCTCTAGAACTGCCAACAACAACTGCAGCACGTTTCATCATAATTCAAAAAGATTTAGAAACGTATAGAGACCACATGTATGTACATATGTGCATACAAACATTTATATAGACAGATAGATGAAACGTAATAAGATATAACGTCATATTATAATGGTTTCCAAATATTATTTTTCTCCTACCAGGCCGAAAGTTCGTGGAGTACCGAGCCGGGGTCCAGGGGCGAAGCCCTGGCCGGGGGTAGGGGGGAGCCCCCCCCTTACTCATAAAAAAACAATTTAACTGTTTCTTAATTTATAAATAAAAACTACTAATTGAATAAGAACTGTCTGATGACACCGCATAGTATGTGCGCCGCGGGAGAAAAGTTGGACATTTCCTCCAGCGTGTTTTTTACATTTTACACGCAGGAGGAAATGTCCAACTTTTCTCCCTTGGTGCACAATGTACTATTTTTTCGCATTACTTAAACCTGATATCTAATCACCGTATTATTTGTCATTACTGGAACCTTTAGATGTAGTGAAGTGAGTGCCTCCACCTGATGGCTCGAGACAAGAAAGCAAAATGAACAATCCAACCTTCGTTGGCTGTGCTACTTAATCCTGCGGGCGCTTTTTTTCCCTTATCTAGCCGCTGATAGCCTAAGGAGCTATTCCAGCTTGGCACGATCGGGTAGGTGAGCCTGTTGAGCTCACGTACTCAAGCAGGCAGACAATTTCTAACACTCGCTCTTAGCAAGAGTGATACTTCGCTGAATCTACCTTCGGATCGGAATCGCGACCCACTAATAAGATCCGGCGAAAAACTCAGTAGGTTGTATCTATGGGGTAGGTTGCACTTCCTAACTCTCTGTTAGAAAGTCGTGGTAAGAACCCGTTAAATGTTTATTAATAATGCATGTAGCCCCGAAATTAATACAATTGAAAATTTAACGCTACAGATTTTCTCTTGTTGTTTTTAATTTAATTGCGTGCAATAATTGCGAGTATTCTGTTGAGCATAATAGGAAATGCCAATAGTAGGAAATCCATGAATTGCAAAATAGCAGTGATTTCATTAGTCTACTACAATAATCAATTTGCTACGCGTAAAGACAAATTCTAAGCGTATCTGTTTTTTCTATATAAGTACTTGTGTTTATTTAAGAAAGGTAACGTATTATTAAATTATATGCAACTACTAACCTGCCTGCCTAGGCTTTGCACGGATGTATCATATAGCGGTAGCTATCATAGAATAGAAGATATTTGAAAGATGCCTGAATCGCGGTAACGACATTTTCAAGATAAACTCGCATATATAAAAATTCCGAATATGAACATTCGAACTATCGTTCTACCGAGAAATTTCACTCGCTTTTTTTTTCCTACCTATCCGATGTTGATCTAAGGGGCTATTCACACTATGACGACGGGACACTCGCTTGGCAGAAGATATTCTCTTGGTCTGAAAGAATCGAGAATCTACCTAACTAACACCTACCTACTTTACAAATTTATATATAACTTACTTAATATTATTTAAATTTTTATATTACTTTGGCTTCATAAAAAAGATCGAGCTAAGACTCTTCATTATATTTCATATTATTATACTTCATTTGCGTGTCATTTTTCATACGCCGATTTCTTCTAGGTAATTTCATTAACTGGTATCCAGAACATAGATTCCGTGAATATAATTTGCATGTATGTTAGATAAATCGTCCGGAAGAAAGTATGATTAAATGATACAAATATTATTAAAATCCGTAGCACGATTTAGAAGTTCTAACAGCATTAAAGAAATAATTAGAAACTATTTTTATACTCGAACTATGAAGTAGTATAAACCAATATTTTTTCATATATTCATTGCGTCATTGAGATAATTAGTCTATTAGCGATGAGTTTCACTACCATTATCGTTTTGATTAGAATTGGATTAATTTTTTGATTATTTCCATTTGAATTTGAAATGGATTCTTAAATTGTTGTACACACTAAAATCTATAAGATCTTTGAATCTTTCTTCAAACTGTGCCTACTTGCTTTTCTTTCAAGGATCGCAAAATTACTGTATCCGTTTTTTACACAGTCGCTATTTCATGTTTAGATCTTAAAATGAGGAGGAGTATTCACATAAACAATACCAGTAGTTTGTCAGATCGAAGCATTTAGCTGTCCTTAGTCACCTTTGATATTGAGTCCATACATTAATCGTCTACTTTACTTACTAAAATGCTGGTATCTATTTTAGTCTAAATTTATTGTTTTGTTTTTATTGCTTAGATGGGTGAACGAGCTCACAGCCCACCTGGTGTTAAGTGGTTACTGGAGCCCATAGACATCTACAACGTAAATGCGCCACCCACCTTGAGATATAAGTTCTAAGATCTCAGTATAGTTACAACGGCTGCCCCACCCTTCAAGCCGAAACGCATTATTGCTTCACGGCAGAAATAGGCAGGGTGGTGGTACCTACTCGCGCGAACTCACAAGAGGTCCTACCACCACCTACAATTCATGTTTAATATATTTAATTTATTACAATAAACATCGTCTCCTTTCTAAGTGATCTCAGAAATAAACTACAATATAGGCTTAACATCTGAAGGTGCAGGTACCTTGGAAGGATATGCTGGACAGAAGATCTCAGTAATAATTTAAGATTACATTTGTAGTCGTCGTGCCCTAAACGATAAAACGTCCGGTGCATTTGAATCTAGCGATGCAACGGTGTTCGAATCCCACAGGCGGATACCATTTTTTCTAATGAAATATGACTTAACAAATGTTCACGACTGACTCCCACAGTGAAGGAATAACATCGTGTAATAAAAATCAAACCTGCAAAATTATAATTTGCGTAATTACTGGTGGTAGGACCTCTTGTGAGTACCGCACTGGTACCACCACCCTGCCTATTTCTGCCGTGAAGCAGTAATGCGTTTCGGTTTGAAGGGTGGGGCAGCTGTTGTAACTATACCGAAACCTTAGAACTTATATCTCAAGGTGGGTGGCTCATTTACGCTATAGATGTCTATGGGCTCCAGTAACCACTTAACAACCAGGTGGGCTATGCGCTCCACCCATCTAAGCAAATTTTTTTTAAAACATAAAATTAAAAACCTGGTGGTTTCAGTCATATCAAACTAGTTGGGCACCAATTTACTAAAACGAGCCTATCGCTAAGATTCCTTAAATTTATTAAATTTATTTAGGTTAAATTTTTCGGCTGTCCGCGAATTCAATTTTCATTCCGAGATGAGAGGATAGCTTTTGTAATGTAACTAACGGATACTCGTGCTAACACTTAATAAAAGGCGTGAACTCGTCTATCCAAACAAACACACGAATAAAAAAAAACTTTAATCTTACTTCTCAGGTTTCAAAATTGGTCTCATAATGCTAATGAGCAGCCTACTCCCAATACATTAAGAAATTAATGACAGTTTTCTTCAATTAACAGAAAAATTTACCGTAATTTCTGTAAGCGTTCAAATATTGTCTTTACGTTAATATAAAATAAAACTTCTTGTCCGTTAACATTTAAACCCGCATTTTGTAATCTTTATCTAAACGTCTCGGTAATGGTTCAAACGTGCACGAAGCCCATGCAATAGCTATAACTAATAAAGTTATTTTACGTGCTGCAAAAGAACACTTGTCCTCATTCCGATTAATCGTTTCGTTTGCTTCTGATTAGCTTTTAAATGTTTATTGATTTGTAGTTTTGAATCTTTTTAGGTTTCATTTATTTCTTTCGTTTCATGCTCATTGATACATTAGCAAACTATTGTACGTCTATCTTTTATCTATCGTCTATCTATCTTCTATATTTCAGCTCACGGACGTCCACTGCCGGACTTAGCTCATTGATATATTAGCAAACTGTTGTACATCTATCTTCTAGCTATCGTCTATCTGTTTTCTATATTTCAGCTCACGGACGTCCACTGCCGGACTTAGCTCATTGATATATTAGCAAACTATTGTACATCTATCTTTTATCTATCGTCTATCTATCTTCTATATTTCAGCTCACGGATGTCCACTGCCGGACTTAGCCTTCCACCAAAACTCGCCACAACGACCGGCCTTGCGCTGCCTGCATCCAGCGGATCCCCGCGGACCTCAATAGGTCGTCCGTCCACCTTGTAAGAGGTCTACCCACGCTACATCTTCCGGTTCGTGATCGCCACTCGAAAATATTGTACATAGTTATTCAAATTATCATAATACTAGTTTTTGCCCGCGACTCCGTCCGCGTGGAATAGTTACTTTGGCATAACGCTAAATTTTACCCCCCACTTCATTTACGTAGAAAGAAAATATTTTTCAATTATAGAATGCTAAGGAGCTGTTTAAACCTCGATTTTGAAACATTCTTTATTGGTGTTCTTATCTTATCTTATGTTGTGGTGTTATATTGGGCTATCTAACTCTGAAAGAATTTTTCAAATCGAACCAGTAATTCCTGAGATTAGCGCTTTCAAACAAACAAACTCTTC